AAAGATGTCATCTCTGTAACCTGTTTCTGGCCAGAACCCAAAGTTAGAGGGAGCTCGACGACACCCTCTGGAGTGATGACTCCTCCCCCAAACCCCTGGAGAGGAGTTTTAACCGCTTTGAGCTGCTGAGATGAGATTCCCATTTCGGCAAAAGCTTCTTGTGACAGTATATTGGCCGCACTCCCGTTGTCGACCAAGATCCTCTTTACTTCAAAATTGGCCAAAATCGCTGAGATTACCAAGGCGTCATCATGTGGGAGTGATACGCCTTCTAAGTCTCCGGTCCCAAAAGTGATATCCTCTAGCTTTCCATGAGGCATCCCAGAGGCCAAGGCATATCGTCGGGCATATTGTTTTCTTCCACTGTTGGAGTCTCCTCCCGAGGCAATACCTCCAACGATGATATTGATGGTTCCAGTAGTGGGTTGACCATCCCTTTTTGCCTCAGAGTCTTTTTCCCTGCCACAATCATTCCTCGGGTGTTTGTCGTTATCGACGTAGGAGCTCAGGAGTCCTCTTTTAATAAAGGCTTCAATCTCCCGTTGTAAGGCCTTACAGTTCTCCGTGGTATGCCCATGATCCCGATGGAACTCACAGTACTTGTTCATGTCCCTGGATTCGGATGGTGACCTCATTCTGACAGGCCATTTCAGTTCCTTCATATCCTTGATCTCCATTAATATATTGGTCTTTGACGTATTTAAACGCGTGAACGGCGTCGGGGGAACCTCCTGTCTCTGTTTTTTCCGATGTTGTTCTTCACGGGGGTTCGGGTCATGCTGTCTTTTATGCTCGGCCCTGTCATGGGATGGTCCAACTTTTCTCGGGTTTAGTGTTTCCTCCATGTTTATGTACTTCTCGGCTCGGGTAAGAAGCTCGGTGACTGTCTTTGGTGGAGTTTTGGATAAAGACATCTTGAAAGCCTCGCACTTTATGGCATATGTGAGGGCAGAAACTGCTGCAGTTATGTGTAGGTCGGGAATCTGAAGTCTTTCTTTGTTGAACTTGGTCATGAAGTCACGTAGGGTCTCATTTTGTCCTTGTCTAAGTTGCATGAGGGAAGCCGCTGTCTTCCTGATACGTTTGCTGCTTGCGAAGAAAGCGGAGAACTTGTCCGCCAAATCCGAGAATGAGGCTATGGAGTTGGACTCTAAGGTTGAGAACCAATCCCTAGCAGCATTCGTCAAAGTTTGAGGGAAGGCCTTGCACATCACCTGATCTGGTGCAACCTGCAGATTCATGACGTCCGTGTATATGTTCAGATGATTGATTGGATCGGTGGTCCCATCATATTCTTTGATCCTAGGATACTTAAATCTGTCAGGCAAGGGGAATGTTAATATCTCGGGAGTAAATGGAGTGTTGGGACTGAATCTTGTCGTCTCTTTGTTGCCCTGAAGTAGGCCCGCCGTAATTCCTTCTTGAATAATCCTAGCGAGTTCCCCGGACTCCATGGTCACTGATCTCGAAGCCGAGGTCACATGTGGTATACCCGAGGCCCCTGCTCCGCCGTTGTCAGGGACATGTGCTCGAGCTCGAGCATCAGCCATAAAACCCCCCTGGGGTGCCGGTGTGAGTGACGGATGCGAATTTCTTTGACTTAGCAGCTGAGTCAGTGCGGCGACCTGTTGTCTGAGCTCTTCAAAGGCTCCAGTAGTGACGACTGCCGGCTGGGGCTCCGACACTTCTGATGATTCCTCTTGAGGAACAGGGATATCCTCAGGAGGGAGTTGGTTTGGAGCAGCCTGATCGTGTGTTTACCATGGCTTTTGGTAGCGCTTCCCACAGACGGCGCCAATGATGCTACCAAAAGTCGTACCTGTAGATTTCCCGAGCTTGATGACGGATGTGGAGCACGAATGTGATCTTCCGATACCTGAAACAAAGGTAACGAGGTGTGTTCTCGTCGCCCCTCCGATGCTTAAGTCAGAAAGGGAAATATATGCGTGAGGCTATGTGCTGAAGAACAATGTAAAACGTACCTGAATAATGGCCCAAGGTTCTGCTTTTATAGGAGTAGGTAGTGTACTCCTAGTAGGATTGTGTTGGTTGGATGTTTTTATCCAAGGGAATTTCTATTATAAAGAGTGTCCTACTTGTAATGGAATTGTTTGACAAGTGGTGTCAGAGTTGATGTAGAATCCTTGGGTGTTTAGGTTTGTTAGTTAGGTACCCAAGTCTTAGGAGGCATGTTGGTGGTGTATGTCTCGAGGACTAGTCCCGAGGACATTGAGAGAATGTAAATGTGTCCTCGAGATACCTCGAGGACTACGATACCTCGAGGACTTAGGGTGACCCCGAGGACCATAGAAGAGAAATGAGGTGGGGCATATATTGAGTTCTCGGGATAAACTCCTCGGGGTATATCAATATTGGCATAGTCAATAATGAATTGCTCTCTAGAATCAAAACTGTCTTTTTAACATATAACCACGTGTCACAAGTCGAGCTACACAACTCTATATTCAAAAACGACTCGAACCCAATATAAAAACCAAGGTGCCAAGACCAGATGCAGTAAATTCATTTCCTGGATCCCTCTCTGTTTGTGTACGTGTAAGAAAGAAAAAAGGTGGTTGTAAAAGAAGAAAGAAACAAAAAAGTGAAACCAATTTTCGTTGAATCGAGTGTACCAACTCCCAACTGCATTTTCAATATTTTCTAAATTTTTATTTTCTTTCCACATTATTTATTCCAATATTTTCATATCATAAATTATTGTTTGATTATCTAAAATGTATTTTGTACACCTAATATGGAAAAATTATCAACAAGACCGTTGACAATTTCATAGATTTTGGTGGTGGGGTGGGTTTCATTAGTTAAATTATGCGTTGATTTTGACAGGTTTAGCAGTAATTTCATCTCGAAGTTCGTCTTAATTGGCGTTCATCTTTCAAATTGGTCATAGGTCATAGATCTTCATCTAGAGACGTGCTATCGAGCAAATCACATTTCAACAACTTTTAAGTTCGATAAAACATGTTATAGACATGGGCGGACCAACATGGGGCCATGTGGGGTCACACAAATTTTTTGTCTTTGTTTTTTTCCTTTACAATCTACTTTGATGCACTCGTTACGGAATATCAAATGAAATCGAAATATTACATTTTTAATATCATTTCGAAGTGTTTATGACTTAGTTTTTTGCTCAACTAAGGCGTTCGAAATGGTCTACCATAGTAAAAGTTACGACATGTCAAAATAGGCCGTTTGAAACTAATATTTCGAGAATTTGGATAATATGCTAACTTTCAAAATTTGTTGGCAATCTTATGTTATCCAAAACCACAAATCATCTATGTCATGTAGAAGTCCATTTCGAAAGCTACATCGTTGTCATATTGAATGTTACAAACAAACATCGAAAATAGTTAAATATACGTCAAACGTACGTCCCAAGAAATGAGTCCTAACTCGTCTTTTCTTTTTAAAAAATTCAATTATTTCATAAGTGACTATTATTTTTGCACAAGAAATTTTTCAATATAATTTATAGCATTTTATTAGGAAATTTATATGGAATATGATGTCAAAAGTTTTATGATTGTTACCGATTAAATGTAACTTGAATTACTTTCGAATTACATTTGCTTTAAATTTGAATTTCATTTAATTCTTAGATTAAACTTGGATTTTATTTCAATTTATTTACGTTCTACACGCAATTTAATTTACTCATTGTCGGCTCAGCATTTGTCAACGAATTGATAAATAAAATTATACAAGTAGCAAAATTGATTTTATAGTAATGTTTTTAAATGATCAAAATACGTATTTTTTCATTAATATTATGTTGTTTTTAAAAAAAATTATATTTTAATTTTTTATCCCACAATACTAAAAGTCTGGATCCACCCGTTATAGGGATATACCAAAAAAGGTATTTTTATTTTTAACTTTTAATAATTATATTGTCGAATCTTATCGATTTCAACATGCCAAACATTTATCAAAAGAGCTTGACTTGTATACTATATAAGCCTCATGAATAGGGGTGGACGCGGGTCGATTCGGTTCGGTTCTCTTTAGAACCGAACCGAACCAAAATTTTCGGGTATCTAGTAAATGGAACTATCGGGTCCAAATATAATTATGGAACCGTTCGGGTTCGGTTCAGTTCGGTTCGATTCTATACTATAATTAAATTTTTTAACATTTATAACAACATTATATAAATACAACTAATGTTACATTCAATGATTTTGGAATGTCATAAACTAGTAGACTACCTTGTTCAAATGATCGCTACGGTTAAAGTTTCAATCGGCGGAGGTCGCAATTTCGATCAGAGGTCATAGTATCGGTCGACGATTGTATAAGTTTTGAAATGTCAGCGAGGCTGCGAGAGTGAGTGTGAGAGTCGAGACAACGTTATGCACTTTAGTGTAGATGTTTAGAATTATTTAGTGGATTGGATCTTGTTGGGCTAAGAAATGAAACAATAAAATTGGTAATAGGGCCAAAAATTAAAAAAATTAGAAATTGAACAAATTATTGAGCCAAAAATTTGGATTTAGAAATTGTTAATTTGTTAATTTCTTTAGAAAAATTAAAATTAAAATAATTTGATTTACTCAATATAAAAAAAAATAGAAATATTCGGTTCTTGGTGTAGAATCGAGAACCGAATCGTACCCGTCGGTTCTCAATTCAGATATCCGTTCGAGTATTTAATTTGACAAGAACCGTCGGATTCGGTTCGATTCAGTTTGATTCGGATTCGAGTTCGATCGATTCGATTCGATTCGATTCGAGAGATTTGTCCTACTTATGAAAATGTCGTCAATGCTATACCAAGCATGCATCTGCATTGAGGCCAGATGGCCATTTTGTTCACCCAAAAAAAATAATAATAAATGAATAAAAATGGTACTCTGAATTTTTCTGCCTTCTCCTCTTCCTTTCTATTCAATGATTAATGATTAATTTTTCTTTTCCTCTCTATTTCTCAGTCAGAAATGGCGGCATAATTTTCAGAACCCATGAAGAAAAAATGAGCAGAAATGCAGAAAAAAGTTACTTATTCTACTTCTATAATCATTTAATTCAGATATTATTGTCTGTCTGTCTATCTATACAGATTACAGAATATAGAAAAGTAAAAACGAAAATAATTCCGCTAAATATATTTTTAAGGAGAGCGGATTAATTAATTAAGATTAAGATCACTTGATTCGGGTTTTTTCTTTGTCATTCAGGCCTGGGGCGAGCCAGCCAGAGAGAGCTGAGGGCGCGAAGGCGGTGGAAGTACTCGGCAATGGCCAGAAAACAGCGAGCAGCTTGACGGGTGGTCAGAATCTGGTGGAGCCGGTGAAGCGTTTGGTGCCTCAGATTATCAGCCTGTAAGTCAATATTTATTATATTCTAATTAATTATTATATAATAATAATAATCACTATGCATGTATGTTGACTTTAAAGAATATTTACGAGGCACGCTAGTCTGTTTGGTTGTGTTTGAATTTAAGTTGAACTTATTTTAAATTGCTTATTATGTCAAACATGATTTTACATAAGATTTTTTTTTTTTTTTTAAATGTTACTTGAGTTTTTTATATAAATGTTAATTTTACTTTCTCATATATTTAGGTAATTTTTTATATATTAAAAATATGAGTATATAATAACAACATAAATATATTTAGCATCCAAGTTAAGATTTAAAATTCGAGTAATTTTGTCCTGAATAAAGCTACTCTTACAAAGTAGCTTTACAAATGTGAAGATATCAAGTATGTTGGCAAAATATAGGTCACTGATTTAAAATAATTTAAAATTTATTTTTGAAATGATTGATGTGGATATTATTTTGTAACCCAACTTTGTAACCTATCTTTGACAACTTAAAGCTCTGGGGTCAATAATTCAGCATGACATCAAAATGGGTGAGGGTCGTGTCCAAATCTCGTTGATACTATTTATAGAAATCATTTACGTACGAGAGCTTGCCTTTAAATTAAAAAAAATATATTAATTAATTTCAAAATGCACCTAAGAAGTGTGATGAAATATAGAATTTAAATAATTTTTTAAGTCTTAAACTTTCATATTTGACAATTTGACATTGTTTCTTTATAAAATAAAATTAAACCTACATATGCATATATCATATATGTAATTAGAAGGAAATTTTGTCAAAAAATATTACTAGAATATAATTCATTCTAAATCGTGTCACTTATCTTGTTATCTCTTCTATATATCAAAGGACTAATCTTTCGCCCCCATTCGTATTAATTATTATTTAAATATCTAAGATTACGCTCTAAAACGTACTGAATGTGCAACTTTATATATATAACTATAGTAAATTAAGGACACATACCTGTCTAACAAAACCTTCAAAGGTAGAGAGTTTGCTGATAGCTAAAGCCATTTGTCCCATGAAACTATTCATGTCTGATGAGATGTTCAATGAATCCGAGGTAATTGTTTCTGAAAGTGACTGGTTTAGAGCTTCGAGCCCTTGAGAGAGGGCTTCTTCAGCCTCCTGTGTTGATTGCTGTAAGCTATATATCCCCAACAGTTGTTGCTCTGTTAATGGCTCTATTTGACTTGAAATTATCTGCATGACACATAAATAAGAAGAAGAAGAAGCAAGATTATTAATTGATTTTTATTTTATTGTTATTATTATTTTTTTATTTTTGGTGTTCGTATGTTGGTCAGATTCTTCGTCCAATCTTCCGTTGAAGAAGCATAATATATACATCTTTAATAACAAAGATCATCAAAATTTTCATTAAATTGTCATGTACGAGTCTTTCTCTAACTCTCTCTGCACCCACAGCAAGCCCATTAAATTAGTATTAAAAAACATTGGCTTTATAGCAAAGTTCGGAATAAAACCTAACAATACCCTATATTAGAAAACATCAAAATAATTTTCGCCATTCTTTGATAAACATTATTCATGAAATCTCACAAATTCATAGACAGGATATCTCTATATTATATCACCAAAATCATCCCTTTCTTCATGCATCTAAACACATTTTCAAGAATCTAAAAATTAAGCTAACAAGAAGTAATAATGAACCCATTATTTTAGTCTAAGCTTAAAGTTACTTTTAGTTAAGAGGTTATTAAAAGTTACTTTTTTTATTAGTACATTTTACATTTTATATTTTTAGAGCCTGTTTGAAAGTGATTTTGATAATTGATTTTTTGACCGTTAGGAGAAAAGTGGGGTCCACCTGTAGAGAAGAAATCAAATATGACGACTGAAATAGTAAAATAACGGTCAAAAAATCAATTTTTTAGGTGAAAATCGGGCCCAAACAGCCCCTTAAGCTTAGCTAAACATGCCAAAGCTCTCTACCGAGGGTTTTGCATGGATTTCACTGTTTAATGTATGATGTTTATTATAGACTTAAAATGGGGCTTTGGTATATACCTTGATGAGCTCTGATGGTCGGAAACCTCCTATCCACAAGAAACAACGTTCGGCCGGAGTCTTCCACGTGCCCGAAACAAGATGAAAAACGTCGGATTTCACAATCATGCTTTTGAGGTTCATAACTTGATCATAGTGTGCCAAACAGTTGTCTACATAGATTCGAAGCTCATTTTCGGGAACGTGATCTTGCATTGCACTCCCAAGTGCAACCATTAGCCGATGATGTTCCTCCAACCATCTTGCATACTCCATGTCGAAAACAGCAGCATCTAAAGACAAAAACAAACTTTAAAAATAAATAGCTTGTAGAAATATTCGAATTCCTGTCAACCTAATCCTTTTTTTCGAGTTTAAAGTTTCAGAAAATACAAGTTGCATAAGTACCTGAGCTTATGTTAGCAGCAGGAATACTATGATCCCCTCCCAAAAGAGAATTTCCGCCTAAATGAAAACCCTAATGGAAACACATATATTATTAAAACAAAATATTGAATATTATAAGTAAAACTAAAATCAAAACATAATTATATTATCAAATCATTACAAAATAACTGGCATAACCAAAAAAAAAAAATTATTTTCACCTGGCCTCTAGCTCGTTGTAATTCTTGTTCTAATTGAGTAAGTCTGATTCTACTCGACTCTAACTGCTGAACATATGCCTGTAATTAACATAGATGAAAAGGCTTAAGATTTTATAAAGAATATATATAAAGCTGATTATAACATTTATTCTTGCTTTTTTGGATGAATTTGATCAATTCTTGATTATTTTTCCTCATACTTGCCTTTTTCCTAAGCCTGCTTTTCCTTGCTGCTTCTCTATTCTGAGCAAGTCTCCTCAAAATCTGCATGTCAATGGATTATATGTATGTGTGTGTGTGTGTGTGTGTGTGTGTGTATATATATATATATATATATATAAGTAAAAATGTATATATATTTGTGTGTGTATATTTAGATAATATGAGATCACCTTAGGGTCTGGTGTTTTTGGTCCATCTTGTTCTGAACTTGAAGTAGGACCTTTGCGATTTCCCTTACGCTGCCACAATCAAGAAAAAATAATTTAATATACCAATTAAAATATTTCGTTTTTGTTTGTGTGTGTGTGTGTGTATGTGTCCTCCTTAACTGCTTTGGTAGATTGAGGAGCAGAAGCAACATCATTTCTAGGGTTAGAAGGCTCCACGGACGGTCCAGATGATTTCTTGGAAACATTAGTAGACGGAGAAAGCAACCCGGTACTTGCCTACCAATTTATTTTATAATATAAGATTAACAAATCCATTAGCTATAATTAATTTATAAAAAAAATAAAGCTTCTAAGAACAAGAAATGTACATTATTAACGGTTTTGATATATACCTTTGTTGGTGATGATGGCTCTACATGCATGGGCTGAGATGGGAAGATGTTCAATGTAGGTGGTCTCATCCCGGAATTCTCTGCATTCAAAAAAAACCCATAAACGTAAAAGTTAGATGAACGAAATTGTCTAATACTGCATACAAAACGACATCGTACAGAGAAGAGCATCTTCTATTTACAGACGTGATAATAATTGAAGAAAAAGTGTAGGTCGTTAACAAGGGTTTTGGGAATGGTCATGCATTTGAAGCTCTCTGCTAAAAGCAACAGAAAATGGAAAAATAGCAGTGGGAAAAGGATGAGATATGTGTAATTCTCTTTCTTAGTACAATCACAGAAATTCATGTATCATAAATTTTGTTTGTTACATTTGGTGGGCCAAAGGTTCAGAAAACAAGAATCCCAAACCTATTTTCTTGAAAACTGAATAATTTTCCCCTTTCGATAAGATGATCAGGTCAAATAAAGTACAATTAGAAGTTTATTTTTTCCCATGACCCAAAAACCAATTCTCCAAGAGAATCTCAAAGAAATTTGACAAAAAAAAAAAAGAAAAGAAAAAATTGAGGAAATGAAAGTATTTGAGCACACACAGCAAGGGATATCTAGAAATTAAGCTTACGTGTTTGTTCTTCAGTTGTTGACTGATCTTGGCCATCAAGATAAAGAAAAAGGGCTTGATCTAATTCTCCTAAATCATAAGCTCCAGGGTTGTCTTTGCTTCTGCTCGTAGGTACCCAAGAATCGTTAAAGAAGAAAGAATCAAAACTCAAAAGACGCATTTTCTTGAAAAAATTTATAAAGAAATTAGTGATGAAAAATACATGAAGTTTTCAAGAAACCTTGATGATGAAGAAGATGATTGCATCATCCCAAAAGAGATCTGATTAATCTGCCTTTGATGATCATAATTAATCTGCTGCTGCATCTGATGATTTTGCTGCTGATGGTTTTTGTCCAAGACTAGTTGTGTAGAGTGGTTGTTGCCTTTATCGGAAGCCATTACAGGATTTCCAACAAGAAATTGACTTTCCTCTTCTGGTATAATATTTTCAAGTGCAGTACTTGCAAAATCCATATACTATAAATTGAACTGAAACGCTTTTCTCCAATTTAAATAATTCCATAATGATCAATACATATACAGATAGGAAAGAGAGGGAGTCGGTTAGGGTATAATGAAGCTGTAGAGTTTGATGAGAGGATAGAAATGAAAGAATTGAATGCAAAAGATAAAGCTAATTTAAGCTTCTCAACTCTCTCTCAAGAACTAGACGACTTTTTTTCTGTAAAACCCAACAATCTCTCTCTCTCTCTCTCTCTCTCTCTCTCTCTCTCTCTCTCTCTCTCTCTCTCTCTCTCTCTCTCTCTCTCTCTCTCTCTCTCTCTCTCTCTCTCTCTCTCTCTCTCTCTCTCTCTCTCTCTCTCTCTCTCTCTCTCTCTCTCTCTCTCTCTCTATATATATATATATATATAAGGTGTACATATATGTGTATGTATATCTAAAACCACCGAAGAAGCAGGTATACGGCTATTAAGGAAAAAGGTTCGTTGTCTGACCATCTTATTCAAGGCTTATGAAATGTCTGATAAGTCCTTGGTTGTTTAAGGTTTTATTGTTTGCATTTTCATGCAGCTTTTTGCAGAGAAACAAACACATGTACAAGCTGAGGAAGACAATTGTGAGACGGAAAATTGTATATTCATATCTTTCTTTTTCCCCTCCCTTTTTTCTTTTTTTTTTGGTGGGGGGGGGGGGGGGTTTGGGGTTTGGTTTTTCAAGTTATTGAAGTTTGGATTATTTAAGCCAAGAAGAGCCAAGAAGGATCTGGAATACACCAGAATGAGGGCAGCCAGTGCACGTGATGCTGCTGATTTTGATTCCAATTTTGTTAGGTTGTTAGTGTGCAAATTATTGTGCAGTAAATTCTGTATATTTCTGTTATAGGAAAGTTGTATAAATAGGTCATTTTTACTCTCTCAATATACACACGAGAATGAAAGCAATTGAATGATATTTTCAGCAAATTCCTTTTGATCTCCATTTTGCAATTCATTTTATCACCATTTCCTTTATGGTATCAGAGCCTTAATGGCTGAAAACAGTGACAATGGCATCAACACTGATGCTGATCAAAATCAAACAACAACTCAAAGCACAAACACAAACTCAAATACAAATCATCATGATCCTTCTCTTCCTAACAGCCCATACTTCATTGGGGCAAATGAAAGTTCAGGAGCCCTGCTTATGACACAAATGCTGGATGCAAACAACTACCATTCCTGGGCAAGGTCAATAAAGAGGGCCTTGAGAATCAAAAACAAGCTTGGGTTCATCGATGGTAGCCTCTGTGCACCAGCTGATGCAGAAAATCCATTGATGGAATACTGGCTTCGTTGTAACGATATTGTTATCAGCTGGCTGCAAAACACCATGACAGTGGACATTAAGGCAAGCACACTCTATGTGGAGACAGCACACCAGCTTTGGGTAGAGATAGAGCAACGTCTTGCTCAACAAAATGCCCCCAGAATATATGAAATCAAACAAGGCATTGCAGCACTCATGCAAGGACATGACACTGTAAGCACTTATTTCTCAAAACTCAAAACACTTCTTGATGAATTGATCAACTATGAGTCTATTCCCAACTGCACCTGTGGGGGGTTAAAAACAGTGGTTAGTAATCAGGAACGAGATTGGGTAATGAAGTTTCTCATGGGACTTAATGAATCCTACAAAGGTCTTAAGGCTCAGATTCTCCTGATCAAGCCATTCCCAAAATTGAATGAAGTATATTCACTAATTCAGCAAGAAGAAAAGAGAAGGGAAATCTCCAATGATGCTCTTGCTGCTGAAGGAATGGCACTAGTGTCAAGAATGGATATGAGAGAGGTAGAGAAGAAAAATACTGGATCACCAAAGAAATATTACTGCACCTTTTGCAAAATGGCAGGGCACTCGTTGGAAAGGTTTTTCAAGGTCAATAAGGATAAATCAACATGCACACATTGCAAAATGCCTGGCCATACTATCAGTAATTGTTTCAAAATTCATGGTTATCCACTAGGCCATAAGTTCTACAACAAACCACAGGTGAATTTCACCTCTACAGATCAGAATATGCCTCCTATGGGATCTGCACAGGGGCGAATCAGTGACAAGAATCAAGTGGTTTTGACTCAGGAGGAATACACCCAGTTAATGGCTCTAATTAAGCCATCAATCAATCAGCCTCATTCACCTTCTGCCAATCATGTTCAGGGTTTGAATTCTCTTTCTCTAAAACACACAAATGTATCCAAAATCTCTTGCACTTACACATGTTCTTCTGCTCACATTGATGATTTTACCACCATGCCTTGGATTGTGGACACAGGAGCCACAGACCATATGGTCTGCTCAATATCCTTCCTCACAACCATTAAAGAAAAAATTTCCCAACCTGTCACATTACCTAATGGTGCTATAGCCTTGGCCACTCACATAGGAAATGTTAAAATCACAGAAAATTTATTGCTTCATGATGTTCTGTGTGTTCCATCTTTTTCATTTAACCTCATATCTCCCATCTGCCCTCTAGCAAAAATGCATAGATTACCATTCACAATTAGCCAACATAGGTCCAAAGAATGTTTTGATTTGCTTCATTGTGATTTATGGGGTCCTTGTACTGATATTGCCTATGATGGATCAAAGTATTTTCTTACCATAGTTGATGATCATAGCCGATGCACTTGGGTTTATTTACTGAAATTGAAATCTGATGTTTCCACAACTTTACAAAACTTTTACACATTGATAGAAATGCAATTTAACTCCAAAATCAAAACCATCAGGACTGATAATGGAGGGGAGTTTAATCTGAAACAATTTTACTTGCAAAAGGGTATCATTCACCAAACCACATGTGTTGAAACTCCCCAGCAGAATGCTGTAGTTGAAAGGAAGCACCAACACATATTGAATGTAGCTAGGGCCTTGAAATTTCAAAGTGGATTGCCTATGATCTATTGGAATGAATGCATATTAACATCTGTTTTCCTCATAAACAGAACCCCCAGTCCCATTCTTGAGAACAAAACACCATTCGAACTTCTTTTCAAAACCAGGCCAAACTATTCAAACCTGAGGGTGTTTGGGTGTCTTGCATTTGCTAGCACCCTTGCACACAATAGGCATAAATTCGACTCAAGGGCAAGGAAATGCACTTTCATAGGTTATCCCTTTGGGACCAAAGGCTATAAAATGTTGGACATGGAAACTAATAAAGTGTTCATATCAAGAGATGTAATATTCTATGAAAATATTTTTCCTTGGAAAGCATCTGCCACTAAGGCCAAATATGAGTCATCAAATCCCACCTACGAACTACCAAGTCCTGAAAATCTTCCTTATGCTCAGCCAAGCAACATTGACCTAAGCTATCAACCACAAACTGGAACCTCACAAAATCTCAGTCAACAAATAGATTCTCCAGAAACACACCAAAATTTTACTGAAATCGAATTGTCACCAAATGCATCAATTAGTCCTCATATGCTTCGAAGATCGACCAGAAATAAAAGAGCACCTAATTACCTACATGATTTCATATGTCAACAGGCTTCCTCACCTATTTACCTACATGATTTCATATGTCAACAGGCTTCCTCACTCACTCATTCTCAAGAGTTCACCAAGAAAGGGGGTGCCATAACTTCAGGTAAACCTTTCCCTCTAAATGCAACACTTTCTTATCATAAATTGTCTGACAAACACAAAGCACTATCTATATCTTTACTTGAACATCCAGAACCCACTACTTACCAAGAGGCTGTCCAGTTTCCTGAATGGTGTGAAGCCATGCAGGCTGAAATTAAGGCACTTGAGTCAAACCAGACTTGGATTGTCACTGATTTACCTCCTGGAAAGGTACCTATAGGATGTAAATGGGTGTACAAGGTGAAGTTTAATGCTGATGGAACAATCGAAAGACATAAGGCAAGGCTCGTGGCAAAGGGTTATACCCAGCTGGAGGGAATAGACTACCACGAAACCTTTTCGCCTGTGGCAAAACTGGTGACAATCAGGACATTACTTGCGATGGCAGCAGCGAGAGGTTGGTATCTACACCAATTTGACGTAAATAATGCCTTCTTGCATGGAGACTTGGAGGAGGAAGTCTATATGCACTTGCCTCCCAGATACTCCACCAATGTAACTCCAAAGGTGTGCAAGCTTAACAAGAGTTTGTATGGTTTAAAGCAAGCGTCGCGACAATGGTACTCTAAGCTGTCCATTTTCATCACTGAGCAAGGATTTCATCAATCAAAGGCTGACTACAGTCTCTTTACAAAGAGCACAGGGGATTCTTTTACAGCCATACTGATTTACGTGGATGATATTATAATAGCTGGAAGCAATGTGGAGGTCATAAACTCCCTCAAGGTTTCATTGGATGACAAATTCAAGATTAAGGATTTGGGGAATCTTAAATATTTCCTTGGAATTGAAGTTGCTCGATCAGCAAAAGGGATCCAAATTTGTCAAAGGAAATATGCATTGGACATTTTATCTTATTCAGGCAATATTGGGGTCACTCCAGCTAAGATCCCACTTGATCAAAACATCAAATTGTCCAAAGATGAAGGAGAAGTTTTAACTGACCCTGCCATGTATAGAAGACTTGTGGGAAGATTGCTCTATTTAACAATCACCAGACCTGACTTATCTTACTCAGTATATTTGCTGAGCCAATACATGCAAACTCCCAGGGTACCACACCTCAATGCTGCACACAAAATCCTTCGATATATTAAAAGGTCACCAGGTCAGGGGTTGTTGTTCTCCTCATCATCCAATCTACAGCTTACAGCTTATGCTGATTCAGACTGGGGAGCATGCCCTGATTCTCGAAGGTCAGTCACGGGCTACTGCGTTTTCATTGGTTCTTCATTAATATCTTGGAAATCCAAGAAGCAAAGTGTTGTCTCTAGATCCTCAGCGGAAGCAGAATACAGGGCAATGGCAGCTGTATGTTGTGAATTAACGTGGCTTAGATATGTGCTTGATGATCTGCAGGTTGCTCATTCACAACCTGCTGAATTGTTGTGCGACAATCAGGCGGCCTTACACATAGCTGCCAATCCGGTGTTCCATGAACGAACGAAACATATTGAGCTAGATTGCCATTTAGTGCGTGACAAAATTCAAGAAGGAAGTCTTGTTACAAAACATGTTAAGACCGGTTATCAAGTTGCTAACATATTTACTAAGGCTCTTCCTTCTGACAGTTTTTATTTTCATTTGTCCAAGATGGGAG